CATATGACGATGTACTCACTTGGTGTTGCTGTGTGGTGCAGTTCTGGCAGGCGGGGAGCGGTATGGCGGCGCGTGGGATCTCGCAGACTCTGTTATATACTCTGTGGTTAAGGTGAGGTATCACATATGACGATGTACTCACTTGGTGTTGCTGTGAGGGTGCAGTTCTGGCAGGCGGGAGCGGTAGGATCTCGCAGACTCTGTTATATACTCTGTGGTTAAGGTGAGGTATCACATATGACGATGTACTCACTTGTTGCTGCTGTGATGGTGCAGTTCTGGCAGGCGGGGAGCGGTATGGCGGCGCGTGGGATCTCGCAGACTCTGTTATATACTCTGTGGTTAAGGTGAGGTATCACATATGACGATGTACTCACTTGGTGTTGCTGTGAGGGTGCAGTTCTGGCAGGCGGGGAGCGGTATGGCGGCGCGTGGATCTCGCAGACTCTGTTATATACTCTGTGGTTAAGGTGAGGTATCACATATGACGATGTACTCACTTGGTGTTGCTGTGAGGTGCAGTCCTGGCAGGCGGGGAGCGGTATGGCGGCGCGTGGATCTCGCAGACTCTGTTATATACTCTGTGGTTAAGGTGAGGTATCACATATGACGATGTACTCACTTGGTGTTGCTGTGAGGTGCAGTTCTGGCAGGCGGGGAGCGGTATGGCGGCGCGTGGGATCTCGCAGACTCTGTTATATACTCTGTGGTTAAGGTGAGGTATCACATATGACGATGTACTCACTTGGTGTTGCTGTGAGGGTGCAGTTCTGGCAGGCGGGGAGCGGTATGGCGGCGCGTGGATCTCGCAGACTCTGTTATATACTCTGTGGTTAAGGTGAGGTATCACATATGACGATGTACTCACTTGGTGTTGCTGTGAGGGTGCAGTTCTGGCAGGCGGGGAGCGGTATGGCGGCGCGTGGGATCTCGCAGACTCTGTTATATACTCTGTGGTTAAGGTGAGGTATCACATATGACGATGTACTCACTTGGTGTTGCTGTGAGGTCTCAGTTCTGGCAGGCGGGGAGCGGTATGGCGGCGCGTGGGATCTCGCAGACTCTGTTATATACTCTGTGGTTAAGGTGAGGTATCACATATGACGATGTACTCACTTGGTGTTGCTGTGAGGGTGCAGTTCTGGCAGGCGGGAGCGGTAGGATCTCGCAGACTCTGTTATATACTCTGTGGTTAAGGTGAGGTATCACATATGACGATGTACTCACTTGGTGTTGCTGTGAGGGTGCAGTTCTGGCAGGCGGGGAGCGGTATGGCGGCGCGTGGGATCTCGCACACTCTGTTATATACTCTGTGGTTAAGGTGAGGTATCACATATGACGATGTACTCACTTGGTGTTGCTGTGTGGGTGCAGTTCTGGCAGGCGGGGAGCGGTAGGATCTCGCAGACTCTGTTATATACTCTGTGGTTAAGGTGAGGTATCACATATGACGATGTACTCACTTGGTGTTGCTGTGAGGGTGCAGTTCTGGCAGGCGGGGAGCGGTAGGATCTCGCAGACTCTGTTATATACTCTGTGGTTAAGGTGAGGTATCACATATGACGATGTACTCACTTGGTGTTGCTGTGAGGGTGCAGTTCTGGCAGGCGGGGAGCGGTATGGCGGCGCGTGGGATCTCGCAGACTCTGTTATATACTCTGTGGTTAAGGTGAAGTATCACATATGACGATGTACTCACTTGGTGTTGCTGTGAGGGTGCAGTTCTGGCAGGCGGGGAGCGGTAGGATCTCGCAGACTCTGTTATATACTCTGTGGTTAAGGTGAGGTATCACATATGACGATGTACTCACTTGGTGTTGCTGTGAGGTGCAGTTCTGGCAGGCGGGGAGCGGTATGGCGGCGCGTGGGATCTCGCAGACTCTGTTATATACTCTGTGGTTAAGGTGAGGTATCACATATGACGATGTACTCACTTGGTGTTGCTGTGAGGGTGCAGTTCTGGCAGGCGGGGAGCGGTATGGCGGCGCGTGGGATCTCGCAGACTCTGTTATATACTCTGTGGTTAAGGTGAGGTATCACATATGACGATGTACTCACTTGGTGTTGGTGAGATGGTGCAGTTCTGGCAGGCGGGGAGCGGTATGGCGGCGCGTGGGATCTCGCAGACTCTGTTATATACTCTGTGGTTAAGGTGAGGTATCACATATGACGATGTACTCACTTGGTGTTGCTGTGAGGGTGCAGTTCTGGCAGGCGGGGAGCGGTATGGCGGCGCGTGGGATCTCGCAGACTCTGTTATATACTCTGTGGTTAAGGTGAGGTATCACATATGACGATGTACTCACTTGGTGTTGCTGTGAGGGTGCAGTTCTGGCAGGCGGGGAGCGGTATGGCGGCGCGTGGGATCTCGCAGACTCTGTTATATACTCTGTGGTTAAGGTGAGGTATCACATATGACGATGTACTCACTTGGTGTTGCTGTGAGGGTGCAGTTCTGGCAGGCGGGGAGCGGTATGGCGGCGCGTGGGATCTCGCAGACTCTGTTATATACTCTGTGGTTAAGGTGAGGTATCACATATGACGATGTACTCACTTGGTGTTGCTGTGAGGGTGCAGTTCTGGCAGGCGGGGAGCGGTATGGCGGCGCGTGGATCTCGCAGACTCTGTTATATACTCTGTGGTTAAGGTGAGGTATCACATATGACGATGTACTCACTTGGTGTTGCTGTGAGGGTGCAGTTCTGGCAGGCGGGGAGCGGTATGGCGGCGCGTGGGATCTCGCAGACTCTGTTATATACTCTGTGGTTAAGGTGAGGTATCACATATGACGATGTACTCACTTGGTGTTGCTGTGAGGTGCAGTTCTGGCAGGCGGGGAGCGGTATGGCGGCGCGTGGATCTCGCAGACTCTGTTATATACTCTGTGGTTAAGGTGAGGTATCACATATGACGATGTACTCACTTGGTGTTGCTGTGAGGGTGCAGTTCTGGCAGGCGGGGAGCGGTATGGCGGCGCGTGGGATCTCGCAGACTCTGTTATATACTCTGTGGTTAAGGTGAGGTATCACATATGACGATGTACTCACTTGGTGTTGCTGTGAGGGTGCAGTTCTGGCAGGCGGGAGCGGTATGGCGGCGCGTGGATCTCGCAGACTCTGTTATATACTCTGTGGTTAAGGTGAGGTATCACATATGACGATGTACTCACTTGGTGTTGCTGTGAGGGTGCAGTTCTGGCAGTCGGGGAGCGGTTTTGAGTCGCGTGGATCTCGCAGACTCTGTTATATACTCTGTGGTTAAGGTGAGGTATCACATATGACGATGTACTCACTTGGTGTTGCTGTGAGGGTACAGTTCTGGCAGGCGGGGAGCGGTATGATCTCGCAGACTCTGTTATATACTCTGTGGTTAAGGTGAGGTATCACATATGACGATGTACTCACTTGGTGTTGCTGTGAGGGTGCAGTTCTGGCAGGCGGGGAGCGGTATGGCGGCGCGTGGGATCTCGCAGACTCTGTTATATACTCTGTGGTTAAGGTGAGGTATCACATATGACGATGTACTCACTTGGTGTTGCTGTGAGGGTGCAGTTCTGGCAGGCGGGGAGCGGTATGGCGGCGCGTGGATCTCGCAGACTCTGTTATATACTCTGTGGTTAAGGTGAGGTATCACATATGACGATGTACTCACTTGGTGTTGCTGTGAGGGTGCAGTTCTGGCAGGCGGGGAGCGGTATGGATCTCGCACACTCTGTTATATACTCTGTGGTTAAGGTGAGGTATCACATATGACGATGTACTCACTTGGTGTTGCTGTGAGGGTGCAGTTCTGGCAGGCGGGGAGCGGTATGGCGGCGCGTGGGATCTCGCAGACTCTGTTATATACTCTGTGGTTAAGGTGAGGTATCACATATGACGATGTACTCACTTGGTGTTGCTGTGAGGGTGCAGTTCTGGCAGGCGGGGAGCGGTATGGCGGCGCGTGGGATCTCGCAGACTTGTGTGAGGAGCGCTCGCCGCTGCCGCTGCTCTGCCGCGAGTGAGCCGCTTCTAGCCTAGAGAAACACGTAAAAACAATGTGAAAACAAGCAACATAAAATTCTGAGGAAAAATTTGGTAAAATATGAAAATAAAAGCCTTGTAAGACAGCCGGCGCTATCATTGGGTTTGATTCGTGTGTGTTGCAGATGCTTTACAATTCAAGGCGGGTATTCCTTAAGAACATTTCTGGGACAAAGTCTCGCCTTTTTCTTCTTTTCGTGTGGGATATCGAGTCGTTCAATAACCCGATGAACCCTGGTGTCAGAGTTTTTCAACCGCCCACTGCAAGTAGCAGGCCTCTGACATGGTTGTGTAACGACCGCTATCATAGACAGCAACCGGGACCGACGACTTAACGTGCCCATCCGAAGCACGGAACCATCTTACTTGCGGACAATCAGGTGGTTCAGCCTGCAATTACCTAACCAGACTGGGAACAAATTCACAAAGTGATAAATATCAACTTTGTGAGTGACCCCACCGGGAATTGAACCCGGAACCTTTGCGTGGCAGGCAGGTGCCACTACCCACTGCGCCACTTTGGCTGTCACAAAGTCTCGTGACATTGCATATATAAAATGTTCCGGATGTATCAGATACAATGTTCCGAGGATTCTGTCCCCAATGAATACCCGCCTTCATGTTCCCTTGGCAGCGTCTGCTAAACAGTTTTTAACACCTTAAAAATTACCATTAAAGATCAACTCAACAAAACACGGTACCTCTGTTGTGTCGGTGGGTTTCCTTCTTCCCTCTCTTCTATCCGGTTATGTCGTTCGAGCGCTTCCCTCGACAGTGACTTCTCAGACGCGCGTCCGGGCTGCGTTCTGCCGTAGATTTCACCGCCAGGTTCAATCTTTTTGTTTGGTTTGCCCATCCTGGTAAAAAGATATATATATAAAAATTCATAAAAACCGATGTAGTGGTCTATTGGTATTTTAATGCACATACAGTGCTATTTATTCTCATAAATGAAAAATAGAAATTGATAAAACATCATGCATCGACCGGGGCTCGAACCCGGGCCGCATAATTCAACATCCCACCGCTCTGACACTGAGCTATCGATGCACCGATCAAATCATAAATAAATTTGTAAATACTATCTACAGATGTCGCTAGACCATCGCTTGGAGAAAATTTGGTAGGCATTGATCGGGTCAATGCATGTCATTTTTTTTATTTCTTATTTTTATTTGTGGTTTTTGATTGCTTCCTACGATTGTTGATCCTACCAACTGCGCCAAGCGGCTTTATAAACTAATCAACTTATAAACATACCCCTAAAACAATGGTTACTTTGTATTAAAATATTGTGTATGTAGATAACTAAGTAAGCATACTGTGTTACCTGAACATCGACGACAAAGATTTCAATATAGATGGTTTCTTAGTGGACAGTGATGACTGCTGCGGAGACCCACGGACCATGCCGTCCGGGCCGTGGTGGTCGTCTGTCAGCCAATGTTTCAACGCTGCCAAAAAAAACAGATTGGTAAGCACATTATTCTTCGTTGAACGTTTTCAGCCGGGCCACCATTAAAAGCTATCAAATCCAAGGTTCATTGTCCCTTGTAGACATCACTGCTAAACTACAAAAAAATTGACTTGTAACAGGCCATATTTCAAAGAATTCTACATAAGCGTAGTCGCGTCCACACCAAGCGAGGCTGCTCGCTACCTCACTGCCTCGCGCGGCAAACGACCAAAAATTACGTGGCTCACCCGAGGTAACGCATGCTCATGCTCGGGCAAACGCGCGCGGGCCGAGCCAAAATCAACGCGCCACGGACGTTTACCTATAAGTTTATTTAGTCATCCAAATTGGGCCAAACTTGGGTCGCCTGCGCTCCGAGCGTATGCCGCACGAACGTATGCCGCGCGAGGCAGTGAGCGCCCGAGCAGCCTCGGGCAATGTAGACGCACCTATTGGTACTTAATGATTAGAGCAATCTCCTTGAATAGTAATAATAACAACATAAAAGACAAAATACAGTTAGAACTTACGTGGGTGTGCTCTCGCGTAGATGGGTTCGTTCCGGGGATTCCTTTGGTTTTCTTGTATCGCTGTTTGTAGTGACTCTAAACTTGACGATTTTCTCATTCCCAGTGACGGACCCACTTGCATTGCTGTAACAAAATTAATAACATGAATTTTTATACATCACCATTACCTAAGAAAGGGACCCGAAATGGTAACAATATTATTGACATACCGATCAAATGTCTTATATTTCTTAAGAAATGAATAAGAAGAGGGCTTCAGTAATAATGTTTGAGAAAAACACCCGGAATGGCAATAATATTATTAAGAAGAGGACTCAAATAATAATATTGCTATTTAGAAACCCTTTTTCGTCAAAATTGCAAATCGATCTAATTTAGTTGAAACTTTTGGCATCAAATGGTATTTTATTTAACCCAGAAATAATATAGGTCGTTGCTTTTGAACTGTAATTCATTTATTGAAAACAGGGTTACTTTGCTCGATCATAAAAAAATCACATACCTAATTAAGTAAGTTTATGACATTTTTTTAAATAATACTTGCTCAAAGGGTATACTTCCGCTATAACCGGGTTATACAATATTTCATCAATTTTAAATCCTTACCATTGATAGCCTTGGTTTCCTTGATCTTCCTATACGTGCCGGTCTGCTTGGCGTCCATGGCCGCATGCCTCTTCTCCGACATGGACCGCCTGCCGATGGCGTCTCGGCTGAACCCCGCGCCACTTTCGCTACCAGACCCCGTGACAGTCGTATAATATGACATTTGAGCAGGATGTCAACAATAATGTTAATCGCTTATTAGCTTACTAGCTGCCCGTCAGCGGTTTCACCCGCTGCAACCTATTAAGCTGCTATTCCGAACAGTGCAGCCGACAGCCGACAGCCAACAAACAGCATATGCTGCAACGGCAGTTGCAGCCGTTGCAGCACTACTGGTTTGTATGGAGTTCTATGGAACGCTATCCGAAGGCTGCAGCCGACAGCACATGCTGTCGGCCGCTGCAGCATATGCCGCAACTGCCGTGACTGCAGATCAGTATTGCTGCAACGGCAGTGCGATACGCACATATCTATTTTTGCTATTTTGTTATAAAACGTAAAATGTGTGGATCAGAAATAATTATGAAGTAATTAACTATCATAATTATTAAAAAACAAAACCACACAGCGGTAATTTCAAAGGTAAAGGTAAACCTACCTATTATACCTACCTAGGTTCGAGTTGCGGTACATTGAATGAATTGTACCAACTAAGTACTTACAGTTCGTGCGTGAGTTACCTGTAGGTACCTATTATAGCTACCTATGTACCTACCTGCTACTCTGCCGTGTGATGCTAGCTTCACCCCTTTTTTTTCTGTGGGTGTCGTAAGAAGCTACTATGGGACTCGAAGGTAACATGTGTATTGCAATTTTAGGCGACAGGCTGACAACCTGTCACTATAGTGATACACGACAATAGCTAGAACGGCTCTCAAATATTTGTTACACGTGGCGATAACGACCGAATTTTTACGGCCGTCGCTACCCCGCAAGGGTTTAAGGCGTGATTTATGTATGTAGGTACCTATTAACCTGTAGGTACCTATAAAATCTACCTAAGTCTACATGCAACTATCGGCAGTCACGACATGTGCTGTCGGCTGTCGGCTGTCGGCCGGTGCCTTCGGAATCGCATGTGCTGCAACTGCCAACAGCATGTGCTGCAACTGCCAATAGCTGCAGCCGTTGCAGCATATGCTGTCGGCTGTCGGCTGTTGGCTGCAGTGTTCGGAATAGCAGCTTTATTCCGCGGGAAAAAAGCATTACCTACTCACCAAGAGATGTCGCTGTAAGTTTTTGGTATAAACGTTTAAAACGCGAATCGGCTCAGTCACGCCACCTTTGCAAAAATATTGGAATACGCGTGATCCCGTAGGAATAAGAGATTTTCCCGTGGTAAAAAGTAGCCTATGTGTTATTCTGGATACTCTTCTATATTTGTGCAAAATTTGATGTCAATCTGATCAGCCGTTTTAGCGTGATGTCATAACAAACACACACACAAACATCCGCCTTTATAATATTAGTAGGATTACTCTTACCATTGATGGCCTTGGTTTCCTTGATCTTCCTATACGTGCCGGTCTGCTTGGCGTCCATGGCCGCATGCCTCTTCTCCGACATGGACCGCCTGCCGATGGCGTCTCGGCTGAACCCCGCGCCACTTCACTCTCTCTCTTCGTGTGAGACACCGAGTCGTTCAACGACCCGATGAACCCTGGTGTCAGAGTTTTTCAACCGCCTACTGCAAGTAGCAGGCCTCTGACATGGTTGTGTAACGACCGCCATCATAGACAGCAACCTTTGCGTGGCAGGCAGGCATACTAACCACTGCGCCACATCGGCTGTCGCTACCAGACTCCGTGACACAGTCGTATAATATGACATTTGAGCAGGATGTCAACAATGATGTTAATCGCTTATTAGCTTATTACTTAGAGTATATATAAGCAAGCTATAGAGTGCGCCTAAAAAGTAAAATAGGAACTGGTGGCAGCAGTCTGGGCGCACCCTCTCTGTCTGTCAGTAGTAAAACGACAGTAACAGCACTACTTAACCTCTATAGTGTCTTGTACATTTGACGTCTGCAACTGCTTACGCTTTGACAGTACGCCGCAGGGCCTTATGCGCACTCTATAGCTTGCTTATTTATACTCTAAGCTTAACACCCTTACCATTGATAGCCTTGGTTTCCTTGATCTTCCTATACGTGCCGGTCTGCTTGGCGTCCATGGCCGCATGCCTCTTCTCCGACATGGACCGCCTGCCGATGGCGTCTCGGCTGAACCCCGCGCCACTTTCGCTACCGGACTCCGTCACACAGTCGTATAATGTGACATTTGAGCAGGATGTCAACAATGATACGTAATAAAAACAGATTGCTGCCCGTACGACACACCCTTGCTAAGTCAGCGAAACTAACACACGTTATGGGACCTACAGTGTATAACAAGTTATCTGACTCAGTCACCTCAGCTCCAACTCTCAACTGTTTTAAGAACAGACTTAAGCGCTGGCTCCTCGAGCACACATTTTACAGTTACGACGAATTTTTACAATCTGTATTGTATAGCTAGTACCTAGAATAATTTAGTGTATTTTTAATTTTTATTTTTATTATTTGACATTGTACTTACTTTGAATTATTATTATTATTATTTATTACTATTATTTTTGACATGTAAATTAACATTTTACCAATAAATTGATTATGATTATGATATTAATCGCTTATTACCCTTACCATTGATGGCCTTGGTTTCCTTGATCTTCCTATACGTGCCGGTCTGCTTGGCGTCCATGGCCGCATGCCTCTTCTCCGACATGGACCGCCTGCCGATGGCGTCTCGGCTGAACCCCGCGCCACTTTCGCTACCGGACTCCGTCACATAGTCGTATAATACTGGGTTATTTTTTAGTCAGTGCGCAAACTTTGCAGGGTGTTTCTACTCGTGATTCTGAACAACTTTAATTATGGGGCCACCTGCGAATTTGCCAAAAAGAATTTGGATGTTCCATCAACTTCCATCGAAAAATGTATTCCTACTCAGCAAAAATGTATGGAACAACCAAAAAATATTTTTAGATTTCGCAGGTGGCCCCATAGTAAAAGTTGTTCAGAATCACGAGTAGAAACATCCTGCAAAATTTGCGAACTGACTAAAAAATAACCCTGTATAACATTTGAGCAGGATGTCAACAATGATGTTAATCGCTTATTACCCTTACCATTGACGGCCTTGGTTTCCTTGATCTTCCTATACGTGCCGGTCTGCTTGGCGTCCATGGCCGCATGCCTCTTCTCCGACATGGACCGCCTGCCGATGGCGTCTCGGCTGAACCCCGCGCCACTTTCGCTACTCTCTCTCTCTTATCGTGTGGGACACCGAGTCGTTCAACGACCCGATGAACCCTGGTGTCAGAGTTTTTCAACCGCCTACTGCAAGTAGCAGGCCTCTGACATGGTTGTGTAACGACCGCCATCATAGACAGCAACCGGGACCGACGGCTTAAGG